GTAATGACCGAAATAAAGTTTCACTGGATATTTCCTGTGGGAAACCAAAGTAATCACACTGTAAAGAGATTTCCCCTGCTGTGGCATGGGCAATTTAGTACTACTGAATGGCGCCTTCCCGAACTTCAGCTACATTAAGGACAGCGACTTTTGTAATACCGAATTTCCTACATTCCCAACAACAGCCCAAACCTAGCCAAATAAAGACTGCCATAAGATGGGCTTTACCACACAAGAAATTATAATGAGGCAAAGTTCAGGGCAATTCCCTTTTACGGCACCTGCAAAGCCTACTCTAGGAGTCCTCCTTGAACTGAGGGACGTTGTGACTCACCTGGTTGTGACGAGGTGTCGGCAGGGGCTGAGGAGCACCATCTTCTGCTGCGGGAGGCACACGGCAGGGCGGCACTGACGGGGGGCACCTGCAACGACAACGCCACGCTTTATCAACATATTATCATTACCATCGCTTTCACCACCATTATCAACCATACGCTTACGATTATCATTACAGCATACTTTTTTATCATCATTCCTATTATAATTCTTAATCTGCTATATATTACACCGTCGCTAAGAAAATGAACTAGCAAGACGTAAAATAAAAGATGCACGACCGCCAATGTCCAGTCCACTATTTCCCGCGTTAAAAAAGGTCAACGCTGAAGGAAGCGCGCGGTAAGAGGCCTCTGAGACCTTGCTGCCAGTTTCTTTAAGGCCGGAACACCGCGGAACGACCATAAAGTTCAGAGACACGCACGCACTTCCGAACGCATGCACTAGCAAATTCATATAAGCACGTACACATACATGTGTGTACATATATGTATGTATGTGTAGTATGTATAGTATATTTTTATGAGTGCATCTGTATGTGTATGTATGTATGTGTGTGTATGTATATATGTATGTATGTATATATGTATGTATGTATGTATGTATGTATGTATGTATGTATGTGTATGTGTATGAATGTGTATATGTATATGTATATGCATATGTATATGTATGTGTATGTGCATGTGTGTGTATGTGTATGAGTATGTATGTGTATGAGTAGGTGCGTGTATGAATGTATGTATATATGTATGTATGTATGTATGTATGTATGTATGTATGTATGTATGTATGTATGCATGTATGTATGTATGCATGTATGTATATATGTATGTGTTTGTAGGTATGCATGTATGTATGCATATATGTATACATACATATAAATACAACACACAAAAAATATATACATATACACACACATATACATAATATATATACATATACCTACATACATACATATATACATATACATATACATATAGTGAAAACAACCATTAATGTATCTATGCATGTATGTGTATGTATATGTATGTGTGTATGCATACATGAGTGTATGTATGTATATATGTATATGTACATATGCATATATGTATACATACATACATACATATATACACACATACATATATGTAAATATATATACCGGGCACATATATTTAAACATATATAATATAACATATATATATCCATATACATATCCTTATACATATATATATATACATACATGCATATATATATATATATATATATATACATACATATATACATATATATACATACATACATACATATATATAAATACATACATACATATATATACATACATACTAGTGAAAACAACCATCAATAAAATAAGTATATATATATGTATATATATATATATATATATATATATATATATATATATATACACATATATATATACGTATATATATGTATATATATGTATGTGTGTGTGTGTGTGTGTGTGTGTGTGTGTGTGTGTGTGTGTGTGTGTGTGTGTGTGTGTGTGTGTGTGTGTGTGTGTGTGTGTGTGTGTGTGTGTGTGTGTGTGTGAAAACAACCATTAATAAAATAAGTCTTTTCTTGCCACAGCAGTATGTCAGCATAGCATACTATCGTGGCACATTATTCATTAAAAAAAAAATCTTTAAAAACCTTACAGCAACTCCTACTCCAGCATCAAACACTATCAGGAATTCACCTTCACCAAAGGCTTCCCGAATTTTAGAGCAAATCTTATTATTCAGACACGGTAACTGATAACGTGAAACACCTGCACACAATCCTCAATTCCGAACACTTATATGCTATTTCGTCACAGTTTCAGCGAGCCAATGAGAGAGAGAAGGAACGGAAAGGGGGGGAGGGAAGGTCGGAGGAACGAAGAGAAGTAAGAAAGGAAGGAGGGAGTAAGGGAGGGAGAATTGGAGGAAGGATGGAATGAGGCAGAGAAAGAGGGAGGGGGGGGAGGGAGGGAGGGAGGGAGGGAGGGAGGGAGGGAGGTAAGGAGGTAAGGAAGAAGGGAGGGGAGGGAGGGGGAGGGAGGGAGGAAGGGAGGGAGGGAGGGAGGGAGGGAGGTAAGGAAGGAGGGAGGGAGGAGAAAGACAAGAAGGAAAGGAGGAAGGAACACGGGGTGGAGGAGGGAAGAAGGACAAAAGGAATGGGAAGTGGCGAACAGAAAGACAGACAAGAAAATAAACCTCCCGATAAACAGACAGCAAACATCCGCACACCCCAGACCCTCTCCCTCCGTTCAGCCACACAACTCCATCCGCAATATTCACCGGGGCCAAGGGTGTGTCTGGATAACTGCCCCAAAAGAGCAATACGAGGACGCACTTCTTCGATACTGACAGACAAGACGACTGAGGGAAATTCACGAAGGGAGCGCAAGGAAAAAGAGGAAAGGAAGATCGTAAGGAAAGGGAGGAGAAGCGCGTCGTTCGCCAGAGGGATGAGAGGAGATGCGACTCCGAGGCAGACACGATCAGGACGTCGGGGAAAAAGGCCGAGTGAAAGGACTGCAGGAACAGGCAAGGGAAACAGGATGCACGTAGGGTTATGGCAGGGCTCAGTAAGGGACTGCAGAGGCAGGCCAGGGATGCCGGCGCTCCAATACGTCTGGGCTCCGTGAAATATAGCAAGATATACAGCTGCACCATTTCCTGCCTCAGCCATGATGCTGAGGGTCGAGCCTGGGCTGGCCTGCCGCCTCCCCCCGTTTCTTGCCTCGCGCTTCCTCCTCCAGACATCAAATAGGGTCGTGCGCCTTCCACGGGGAACCTGGGATGCTTCCAAGATCCCGCACCCGAAGCTATTCCCAATGGCTGCTCGAACTGGATGTTTTTTTTATTGGGAATATCCACAGAAACAAGCAAAAATGATTGTATAATAATGATAACAGTGATCACAATAATAACACCGATAACGATGGTGGTGGTGGTGGTAACAATAATTGTGGATGGAATAAAAAGTCATTTTCACATCATCACCTTTTCCCTTCATACTACATACAATATTTATCAAGCATGAACAGTCCAATAATAAATATTTCTTGTT